CGGTCACCCATCCCTCAGCCCCGGTCCTTCTTCACGAAGACCGACGGGGTGTAATCCTTTATCCGAAATGCGATTCGACAAGGCCGACCTTCCCGAGCTGTCCTCATCAACAGGAACAAAGCGATCGTGCCAACAGATTGAGAAGAAGAATAGATTAGAGCGAATGAAGCAAACGATAGAGAGCAGGTTGACCCGCAGAATAATTTCCCAAGGACCAGCAGCAAATGGCTGCGATGCAGTCTCGTTTCAGCGCTGGACGAGGTATTCCGGTATTTTAATGGGGCAGCTGTGTCGCACGTAAAAATACGGCTAGCGCTGTGGAAATAATAAAAAATCTCCTGAAGCACACAAAGAGGTGCTTTCAATTCTCGAGAAACAATCGAATCTTGCTTCCGACAAGAGCAACGTAGAACGGCCTTCGATTTCTCTTCGCATCCGTCATGTTGGATCGCGGCAGTTCATTGATGCCGAGTGACGCCGAGTGATCTTGCCGTTCGTTCGTTATGCTTGAGGCCACCGAGACACAAGTGGCTCCATCTACTGCGCGCGTCGCGACGCCTTTGATGTGAAGCAACGTCTGACGCTTAGATATTTCCGAGCTTTCCCAATGATGGAGTTCTCCCGAGAACGAACTACTTGGACTATTTCAGTTGACGCGACTAGAGGAATTTGGATGTTTGCCTACAGCACCGGCAACTAGACTTCCTACTGCCAAACGCAACTACATGCAACTTCCTACTTCCGACTTGTACAACTTGTGTTTAGTAGTAGCTACTAACGACAAATATTTAATATTTACCAGGTTCTCGGCTGGCCAAGTGTTCCTCGTATTACGTACGCCGAACTTTACTCAAGTACTAGCTTTGGAAAAGAGTGAATCGACTGAATCCCCAAATTCCCATCCTCCTTCGGCCCTTTCCCACGCATCCCATCATTTCCCTTGGGATATTGAGACGCCTCGTTTTCCTCTTTCCGCCGAAAGAAAAAAGCTCCATTTATTTCGTCTTCTTGCTTCTTATATCGAGCATCTACATTATTTGGAGCTCTATTTGGGTCTAACGTTATATGTATACTGTACACTTTAGGGAGATTGTCTTACGTAATCCTAATTATCTTAACTACAATAGCCACATGTATTTCCTGTTTTTTATTTATATATACATGTAGTATGATTATCAACATCGCATTATTCAGTGATATTATCACCACTGTTCTAAGTGAAGATTTCTCTAGTATTGGCACCAAGAATTCGTGATGATGACGGAATACTGTTATTGGTCAATACCATTCAGGCAATTGTCTAGATTTGAGACTGCATGACGCGAGTCAAATTCAGGGTCACTATCAGGGTAGATAACTTTATCTATTCTCTATAATCTATGAATCAGTAATATCTACACTAGCTCTCCGTTTCACGGCGGTTTGTCCTCACTTCCCTGGGTGCCATCTTGACAAACATACGTACCCCTGTGCAGAGTGGTTGCATTTTTATGACAAGACTAAAAGTATCTCTATTCTATGGAAGACAAAATATTTTTGAGCGTGCTCTATAGAATCTAGGCGAGTAGAATTTGCCTAATCGTCTAACCTAAGGATTTAATCGTACGCGAAACACTTAACGTCTACCTGTCTTTTACTTTCTCAAGAAACTTATGGCAATCGATCGGCAGTAACGAAGAGTCGAACATCGAGCTTCTCGAGGGACTCCGGATAAATAAATAAGTTTACACATTAATATTACAAGGCTTCAGCTCCATGAACTGATACGGTACGTGAAGGGTGGTGTTATTGTGTTCCACGAGAAGATGGCCACGTCGCGGAGACGCTCCTACCACCAGAACAGTCTCACCCTTGAGCAGGACCACTTCCCCCTCACCTTCTTCTGAAAGATTTCGAATATCATTTACTCTGCGAGATCCATTATTCTCTTAGTCTAACGCTCGCTCTCGTTTGATTACCTGGAAAAGGCATCTTCATCAGTCGTGTTTGCGGATAGCCCAATTTGGTGTTCCCTGTTACGGTGTAGGATCTGCTGGGAGGAACTGGAGGCGGTCTCTCCTAGGATATAAATAAAACATACAGACAAGAGAAATGTAAATAAATAATACTTTCAAGTTAGGGAGCTAGTGTTACCAGGTCGAGGCCAAAGAGAGTGCAGGTCTGTTGAATCATTTTCTGATCGGCACACTTCTCAGAGGGATCCGGTGGCGGAGTACCGGCAATCGGCTGAGGTCTGGGTCGTGTCCCACTTCCGGCACCCGAGGTCGCTACGCTTCGTTGAATCGTGCCCACGTTTCCAGAGGCCGGCTGCTGTGGTGGCTTCTTTCCCATACCGGAAGTCACTCCCATAGTTGTTCTCCGGATTGGCCACCTCCTACGGACTCGCCAACCTCTCCACGTTGCCTGTATTCAGGGTACCTTGCTTATTCCCCTCTACATTTCAAGAGCTAAGCCGTTCCGACTCTTATTCGGTAACTATGTGCACGAAGACTCCACGAACCTGTATTGAGGTTGCTGCCCTTCTTCTCATCTCTGACCGCATCTGTTCCAGTTGCTGGCGAATGCCTTCGCTCAGGAAGATGTGTCGTTTACCGAGGGCCCAACTGGTGCTCGCGCCGAATTTCCTCTTCGTCTCTTGAGCATTATGAAGAATGAGCTTAGTGTCCTCGAGTGCTTGTTCCTCGGCCCTACGCAGCTGCTTGAATGGAGCCAACAGCCTATACCTCGAGTTGAACGCTTTGAAACGCATCCTGTGCGGATATCCTGCAGCAGAATTTCAGAAGTACCAATATTTCGTAAGGAATCAATAATGTTCCATCTTTAGAGCCATTCCGACTGGGTTCCGTCTTCATCAAACCTTCAAAACCTATGCAAGTCCTTCTGAAGATTTTAGTGATCGCGAAAATTACGAGAATCGTACCTACCTCCAGCCATTAGATTGACAGTCTCGAGAACTTGAAGCGACCGAATTTGCCGCATCGCAACGCCACGATCGAGATGCACCGGCGTCTCCGTTGCATTGCTTCTGATACATCTGACGAAATGAGGTCGCGCATGCACCAGCGTCCTCAGTAGATTGTCCAATCGCGTGTGGAAGTCTTGCGTTAACGTCGAAATTGGCTCGTCTCCGTTCAGTCTGCAAATAGACATGCCCAATGATCGTGAAGGACTTTCAAAAGAATGAGGATGTCCGACGAAAGGTCGGCTGCAGAAGGTCTACCGACAGGTCCGTATGCGAAGTCGGCGATATCCTAAAGCTCACTCCTCTGGGCACAGTGTCACTCGCATAAAGGGCCTTCAGCTCGCTGCCAAAGAGATGCGTGGCAAATCCAAAGTTGCAAGTGTGCTTGTAGAAGACTGCCACGAGGTCATCAGGAACGACGTCTTTGTTCGTATCTGAGAAAATAAAGGTCAACGGAGAAATTCCGAGAAAACAGTTGCGACAGAGATGAAATTAGGAAGGGCACTCTCTAGGTGCCAGATCAACACCCTGATCAAACGCACCTAGAAAATCAGAAGCGTCGTACGTCACTCTGCCGGCAAAGTGTTGAATTCCAAACGAACGACAGTCGACGCAGCGCGATTCAATCAGCCTTGGATTCTGCTTGTGCTGCAGCTTCACCTTGGCCACGTAGCTCTCAGCAGTTCCGCGGATGGAGGACTCGACGTCCAGCATGCTGAGGAGGCCTGTGCGCTGCGAATCGAAAGAGTCTTTCTGACGTCTGGCTCCCTCGCAGAGAAAGGAGGCAGGAAAGGGGGAGTATCTCAAGTTGTAAGACATCACAAGTCGGGCTTACTTACCAGCGAAGAGATGAGGTCGATACAGGGCACATTATCGACATAGTCGACCTCGACGTCGCAGCGAATTCCTTCGTCGCGGCAGCTCTCGATGGAGCTTTTGAAGATGTGGGTGTTGTAGAAGTGCTGCATCGTCTCGGCGCAGAGGTTGATGCAAAGGTGCTCCAGTTGACTTGGCTTTGGGTCTTCGAAGCCAAACATATCAAGGATCCCGATGAAACCATCGGTCGCGTGTCGCACCGCGTTATTCAGGGCAGTCATGCTCCGCGATCCCGTACCACCTGATTTCAAATTATCTCCACTGAATTGGAATCGTTCGATTGGCAAAATGGGGTGGCCGGCCCTTCACAGAGAATGGACTCTGGAGAATGGAACTCACCGGCAGAGCTACCAATCGTAGAAGCGTGCTGGCTCGTCACCTCGGCCTGATTGTGGACGGACTCATTCGAGTCCGAGGACAGAGTGCCCAGAGTTGAGCCGAGTCTCTTCAGACTGTTGGCTCTTCTGACTATGGTGGCCACTGTGCGACAGTAGAGTGCCTTGGCCAAGGAATCTCTCGTCATATTGGACTGCTCGAGGAGAAGCGGATTGGCTCGTGAGTGACAAAACGCATTGCCGATAACAAATATTGACGTCCCGAAAAATTGGGAAAATGGCTTAAAAGGGTACGTACCATGTTGGCATCGCAAACAGACTTGACCAGCTGACCTCTGGCATTGTGAGTTCTCGAAGTGAGCCCTCGCAAGAGAGCGGGCGGTGGGACTCCGAGAAGGGCTGCCACGGAAGTCAATTCGTTTTCCCCTATGACTCCTACCTCTAGACCGGGCCCATCGGTGAAACCAACGTTTCCCAGTATGAGAACGGCCGCGAGGACTCTGACAACATCGAGGAAGGGAATGCCCAGGACTCCTGCACGGAATAATTATTTTCTTGAATTCTCGTAATATTAGAAAGAATTACAGCTTACGTGACGTGTGGAATTTTAGCCCGTGACTTACCCAGACACGCCTTCCAGGCTTGAAACCTTACCGCGTCTTCGGTCTCGTCCTGCCCCGTGTCCCCATACTGCAGGTATCTCAGGTTCCTGGGATTGTATCCTTCCAGATTCAGTTTCACTGGCAGGTCAAAGGGATCGATTGTTACTCAGACGACAGAACGGACGACGACGGCATATTGAAGTACTGAACGCTATTTACCTCTTTCCTCGTGCGTCAGTCCAGCCAACATTTGGTAAAATATATGATAATTCTTCTCGTCCGGCAGCGGCCTAATTACTCTAGTTTGATCGAGAAAGTAGCAGTGAATCTTCGTCCGGTAAAGAGCGCCGTCGGTCACTTGAACTTCTATAAAGTGTCCCTGGCAACGCAGAGGAGACGTCGTTTGTCAAAGAGAAGAAGATTTCATTTTCATATTTTTAAGGTGACTCACTATTCTAGAGCTCTCGGAATTAGTCGCTGTCTTGGCGGAACCAAGAGATCTCAGAACCGTAAATGCAGCTGCCAGATGCTTGAAAGCGTCCGTTTCCGGTCCACCACCAGCGACGTCGAACAACTGCCTCAGCAACAGCATCGATGCATACGTTTTACCGGAGCCGCTGGTTCCTAGTGTGGTTCATTTAGTATAAGAAAGGCAATGGCCTTTTTCTCCTTGCAACAAAGCGCAGTTCGGAGCTGCTGGAAAGAAATATGAAAATTCTTACCTGAAAGAATGATGGCTTGCGGGTAACCTGTCTCCGATTGCTGGCGCACAGCTTCTTGAACAACCCTATTTAGTTGAGGTGCCAGGGGTACGCTCCTGGTGCTCGTGAGTGTCAGCGGATTCCCCACGTCCGTGTACGGGTTGATGCAAACCAGGATTGGCCCCACATTTGTCTGCAAGTGCCAGTCAATATTCGAATTTCGCACGCAATTAATTGCTGCGTCTTAACTGATAGGGTGCGTGGCGGAAGGTCAAGAGACGAAAGGGTAGCAGGGCATTCTCGGGCAAAATGCCGAAGCAGCCGAAACAGCCGGCGGGGTTCGGCGGGGTTCGGCGGGGAGGTGGGAACGCGCGCGTGTGAATGCAAGATAGCTCGTAGTCCCTTTGCTCTCTTTGCATTCCTACGGAACACGAGGAAAAGCCCGAGGCGCCCGTAACCCGGACTTCTTCAAATTCCGGCCCTTATTAACTTTGCACCCGAATCGCCCTCGCTTTCTCCCTGTGATTCTCATAAGGCAAACGACGCATGTCTGCGTGCATTCAGGAAGCCTTGAGAATCCTTAGACGACGCGTCGCCATCGCCCAGAGGCCCAATCCGCACTCAGTTACCGAAATCACTAGGGCTTACGTGATATTGCTTCGCGCAGAAGCGCGCCTGAAGACATTTCAGGACCGCGTCCTCGGTGAGAGGGCCTGGCAAATGGATGAGGTCGTCCAAGCAGGCGGAATTTGCCGAGGTAACGCTCGCGGAGATGGAGACCGCTCGAGAAGCGGAAGAGGAAACGGATGCGGCTGCTGCGTAGGTTCCTTTGGGTAGACATCTTTGCTGGTGTCCCTGCTGAAGATGCTGCAGTTGCTGGCTCGAAGACTTGGCATTTTTCACATCAGCAATGATGCTAGAAATTGGCGGCGACCTCAGGCACCCGAGCGCGGTGACGCAGGAGACGATCCCGTCGTCGGGGACTCCGCTGTGCCTCTTGCTCGTCTCTAAATCTAAATACAGAAGGCTGTTATTGTATATAAGTGTTCTTATAAGTGGAGCCGAGGAGGTGCCAATGGTGTCGCCATCCGCGTGCATGGAACTTCCGGCTTATATCAGATACTGACCAGATAGCAAGGCACTTGCGCTGGAGTTGTGGGATCCCGTGAGGGCATTCGGGACATGCGTAACGTGCGGATGAACGATTGCGGATGCCGTAAGGGTGTGACCGGAGGGATGTCCGATTCCGTGTCCCGTCGATCCAGGAGGTAACGTACTCCTCGGTGGTACCGCCGGAGCTCCTAAGGAAAGTCCCTTCTCGGAATTCTTGGCTAGAGATCCAGGGGAACCGGCGCTCCCCGTAGTCCCAGCACTTCCCGAAGTAGGCTGGCCCACGTGGAGCCGGTTCCTCAAGGTGACCAGTTCCGTGCTCAGACTTCTCAGCCGCTGCTGCAGATGCACTGCTTCGTTCGACGAGGAAGCATCTGAAAGTCCAGAGTGAGAGAGAAAGATACTGAGAGGGTCACTCTAGGAAGTCTAGCCGGCGTGGCAGGTCGCCGAAGGTGCCTCGCCCTTTTCTCTTACGATCTATTCCGCCATTGTATCTCGGCTTAACGGGACTCGGGAGGAGGCCAAACGGCACTCGGACTGACACGAGAGACGAGCAGTCCGTCAGCACTTGGCTGGACAGTCTCGAGCCTGCTCCAAGATTTCGAAACGCACCGTGCTCTTTCCTTCCCATGACCCATTAAGTTTGACACTACCTGGCTCTAGCATGAACTACCCCGCGCTACCTAGACAGCTACCTAGACAGCTACCTAGACCTGACACGCACTCCTTGGCCGCAGAGGGAGACAGGGAGAGAGGGAGAGTCGGCCGGAGCACCGAAAAGGTACTAGGATTAATATAAGCGTAAATCGAGAGAAGGACGCACAGGTATGGAGACAGGTCCTACTACTTGGGAATTAAGGTAGGCAGGTACCTCAGGACTCAATGCCGCTGCGTAGAAACAGGTTTTTTAACGTTGCTACAGTCTCTTGCGGCTAACTTCTCTCACGGGATTTCGCAGGAGATTTATGAACGAAATTGGCTCTGCCGTGTCAGAAGGATCACCACTTAGCTTGGATGCTCTCTTTCGCACCCACGCGCCGCTGTTTTATAAACAATCGGTAGGAAAAAATAAAATATCGAGTTTAGGTTAATGGGTAAGTATCGAGAAGGACGTTCCTGGCTCGTATTATATCCTTATTCTTATTCTTATTGGCTATCGTCATTTGCAAATCGAGATAGCTATCTCTTATTCTTGCAATTTGTCATTTTATAGTCACTTCCTGCTACAGCTTTCGAAACTTTTATTTTATCATCGATTTCTCTTGATCCTCTGTCAATTCCGAAAATACTTCTTCTTTCAGAGGAGAGTGAAAAGGGCCCCAGCGAAACCAGTCGCGCGAGGGGCCTGCACGACCTCGGGGCCTAATCGGATGCAGAGATGCAGAGATGCAGGTTAATCCTCTTGGCATCTCTTTTATAGCATCTTCACGAGTGGCGCAATGGCTTCTCTACGTCCTCCCCGTACGTGGCTGTAGGGCACAGAGTCCGCTGTAGCAGCGGATGTTGTGGCAAACTATGCGTCGGAGAAAGGACGAGCAGAATCGGAAGGAAAAGAAGAGCAGAGGCAGAAGACCTGGGGAAGGACGAGTCTCCTGCGCAATCGAGTCTTCGAGATTCCGTAGGGCAGCGCAACCTGCAACGGCTAAGAGGAGTGTGGTGCGCTGAAGGACTGCTCGATGCCTGCAGCGATGGATTCTCCCAGCACAGCTCCCACTGTGGCTTTGTGCTCTCTCTCTCTCTCTCTCTCTCTCTCTCTCTCTCTCTCTCTCTCTCTCTCTCTCTCTTTCTCCCCTACCGAGAACGAAGAAAGGGATCGCCACGAGTCAAGAAGTAAATCAGCTCCTCGAGAGGATGTAATTCCGTCGACCGGGACAGTTTACTCAGTGCGGCAGGTGCGTGACACGTGACACGTGACACGTGACACGTGACAGTAGACAGTAGAACGAAAGAACCTGCCGAGGTGTCCTCGATACCGTGAAATCGGTTGGTTTCTCAGGGACACGGGACGGCCACTGGCAGGATAACCTCGGATGGCACCTGAGTACCTCCCCAAAGAGGATGATTGTGCTGGGACGGAGTACACGTTGCCGCCAGGTCACTCGATTCTGAGCCGAGTGAAAGCGCCAAAACTGGAATGACCTTGTATCTTGTCAGTCGATGGGCCGGACGATCGATCTCCATTGGTAGGAAAGTCGAGAAGTGTCGACGGACCGCGGGACCTGCCTGGGACGAGTCCCGACAGGAAGTCCCGGCGGGTAGCAGCATCGGCCAGCTATGGGCAAACTTTTGAAACTCGAGTCAAAGAGCACCTGATATTTCCCAGGATACCAACATAGGGGAATACTAGAAAAAAAAATAAAGACAGCATGACTAATAGCAGCAATATGGCTAAGGCGACTACGGCTATGACTGCGGCAATCCCACGCGTCCCGCTAGAAAGCGTGGGCAACTTTTACACCGGGCACCGCATGCGCTCATAATTTTGATGCGAACCACTGGCACAGCGGGAGTGTGCCCGTGCTTCCAGCCATCCAGCCATCCAGCCACGCTGGCCTCTCGCTATGCTACTCATTGGCACCCACTGGCATCTCAACGCCGTTCCAACATCGACTCCCATCCCCTGGCACCTATACTATTATATCTTGGTCCAGGAAAGATGCGCCGACTTACCAAAGAGAATCGACGCTCAAGAGAAGTACGAAGCTACGCGGGCCAGGCTGCTGGCGGATTCTCACGTTAATACGTCCTTTCGATATTTACAAAGATATTGCAAAAGATTCCAAGGATTCCGAAGATTCCCACCTCTCGTAGAACGCAAAGGAAAGGATATCTACCTTGCAGCTTCTTCTCAGTCTCCCAGAACTTCTGCAGCTCCGTGAAGTATTTGTCCAATATGAAGACTTTTGAGAGGCCTAAAGTGGCCATCTCAAATGCTCGAGACTCCAAATGCTGTGAGGCCGATTGCGCAACCACTCCGTTAATCCGTTAATCCGTTAATCCGTTAATTCAATGACGATCCCGAATTTCGTGTGCGCTCGGCACACTCGTCGCCGCACTCGCACATCCTCCCTTCGAGAATCCTGGCAGCGCGGAATTAGCAGAGCAGGATAGCAGAGCAGCAGGAGGAAAGCGGAGAGACGATTGTAGTCAGGATCAGAGGAATGCCGTACGTGTGTGAGTTCTCCTCGTTTATTTCTTTCTTGTTTCTTCGGCTAGGCGCGTGTGTGCCTCAGCATCCATACGTGCTCCATACATCCACTCTCTATCCGATCTTCCAGTCACGAAAGCATCCTTCCCAACTGACTGCTCTCTGGACCAAGTCCCGACGTCCACCGCCCCCCCCCCTGAATCGAAGAAGCTAGTCCAGTTCAGCAGTATCGACGTAGCCGATGGAAACCTGCATAATCTTGCTTACTCTTTGCTAGCGAGATTCGCTTTTGGCTTTGCTTCGGTTTTACTTGAGTTTATAGCTCCCACCGTGAACACTGCACAGCACAACATTCAAGAGAACAACAAGCGAGACACTGCATTGGTCCTAGGCAGGCGCCTGCTCGAAACGTCGACGAAGGCACGTCCTACGAGCGCAGTCATTTGTTTTTCTATTCTCAAAGAATATTCTCGACTATTCTCGACTATTCTCGACTATTCTCGAGAATGCACAACGCGTCAGGAGTTTCCGAGAGCGGTCTCTGACTCGAAGCAGAAAGTTTGAGCAGCCGCGTTCAACTGGGCGTCATTGTTGGCTGGAACCCACCTCCGAGCTCAGCCCTGTCTCTCTTCTAAGGTCGGTTCGTCGTAACGACTCGACCTGCTAGCTAGCTCGCGATGCACGTGTATCGCCTCGAGGTACTTTCTACGTTAGCGGGAACTCAGTATAGCTTGGCCGGAATCCACGAGTCCGGTGGGGACTCGGGAGGCTGGACTGGACCGCTGCTGGATGCTGTAGAAAAATTGAAGGGGCCCTAGACTCCTCAGCGGCTGAATCGGCCGCAACGGCCGCATCGGCTTGCTGCCTCGAATGTGAACTCTCTCGCTCTCCCACTCTCTTATTGCCAAGAGAGTCTTTTTCCTGAGTTCTCTGAGACTCGCGGAGGCCACCACCTCATTCGGCCTCTTCTTCAGTCTCTCGACGTAGGCCAGCCAATCGAAGAGGCTGATTCAAAGAGAATGAACGCGGGAAGGAGAGAGAAAGAGAGAGACAAGGAGGTGACCAGGAGCATCAAAGTCTCCGCGTGCGAATCTAGCGAGCTCGATGCTTGGACCATCCGTCTGTCCTTCGACCTTCCAAACCTTCATCTAACCAAATCTATAGGGGGACCAAATAGGTCCCACCTCCTCAGGACAATCGGAGGCTGCTCCACTGGCTGACGCTGACTTGTCGCAGGAGACATTCGGTATGAACCGACTTGGGTCGCGTTCAGCGGACTAGGAGAAACTGGATCAATGGCGTCGGCAAGTAGATCTTATCGACCGGCGACGAAGCTAGCCAGTGCTGCGTGAGCTGTTGGCTCTTGGTTACAGAAGACGTTCCAAGATAACGCGAGAGCTGGACCGTTGCGCCGGGAGGCTAAAGAAGGACGAGAGAGGAGGCGAACGAGGAAGAGAGGGAGAAGGCAGAAGCAGCTCGGTGCTCGAATCTCGCGAGTTACCTGAACGTCCTGAAGAGCGTTCCGCCTTATAATTTTGATCTACAGCCGCAAGAGGAATCCAATATGGCCGCTGCGGGCGTCCCCGCGTGTCGTAAGCAAAACAAGCGATGCGTCTCTCTCTTTTTCCATTAGCTGCAAACGTAGCCGCTTCACTCCATCCTTCACCTTTCCTCCTCGCTCTCCTCGTCACGAAGCACCAGCGCCTTCCACCGCCTTCCACCGCCTTCCTCAGTGAGAGCCACTCTGCTTCTAGCCAAGGGAAGAGTCGTCGAGTGGGGAGGAGGAGTCCCCGAGAATCTCCATGAGAGCCCTCCGGGCCCCCTGAAACTCCTGGGACCGAGGACCACCCCCTGACCCCACTTCGCCCAACTTTCCTCTCCTCTGCTACGACGGCCGATTAACTTTATTCTCGAGCGAGCACAAATTTCCATGTTTCTCACTCTCTATTCACTCTTTAAGTCATCATCATCATCCTTGAACGGGTTCTCTCGATTTATCACTAAACATATTTCGAAGTGCGAAGCCCTCGAAATTTACTTTAGTCCGTTGCTCACAATTAACGCTAGAAGGATAACCTGCCAATAAAGCTTTTCCACAGGAGCAGACTACCTGCCAGGTAGATCGACCTCTCGTCGATGACTCTTGCCCTAAGGTAACGCACCAGAAGGAAGGCGGCGTACGAGTCCACCCCCTGACCCACGAGAAAGTAAGGTGTCAATGGGATATCAAGTGTCGGAAGGAATTCGGGCCTGGTGTTTAGTGTCCACGATGTTGACTTTGCGACAGTGCCTAATATTTTGCGGTAGAGAACACTAGCGCGCGGCCGAGCACATTGTTGCTCTCTGAGGATTCCATTGGATTCCATCCGAGCGAAGTGGAGACACTTTAACTTCTGGTCGGTAAGGCAGGCACCGATCTTTAGAACCATAACCGACGGACACCGGAATGCCGGTTATGCCTTCAAATGAAAAAGCGACTGTACCACCGAAGATATCTTACCGATCTCGCGGGCCACGATCGCTTCGAACTTCAAACTCCATTATCCGTCGTGAATAACGTTCTGTCTTTCGCAAGATTCCCTAAAGTCCACAAGTCATTCCCAGAGGCAAAAGTCGTCCCCGTATCACTCGGATGCTGCTATTACTACGAACATAATTTATGTACTATTCACCGTTTCTCGATTGCTGATCTCACAGTAATCAAGCTAATCAGAATTATAGGAACGGAAGAAGAATGATCGATTTCAACACTTTCCCGCGGAGGCGTGTCAAGGTGGTATTAAGGCATCGACCTGTACTTGTGAGAATCCGAAATAGGAAAAACGCAGGATTGGCTTAATTAAATCCCGTGGCGAAAGAATGCACAGAATATGCACTTGTCCGCGACGCAACGATCTGTCGACTTTTATAAAATATTGAAATTTGTAAACTCGATCGAAGATCTAAGAAAGAGAAGCGAACGTGAGTCGATGACAAAAGAGCCGAAAAAAATGGCTGGTCTCGGTCTTTGGTCTTTGCGAGCCAGCAACGAATCAGAAATCGGTAACCAAGGATCGGCAGACAAAAACGCATCGGCCCAATGTCACCAGGTGACGGATGGCCGTCGTACTGCGTCGCGATGCGTCGCACTGAGGCTCGATAACTCGCCAATTCGGACTCCTCTTCCCCCTCCAGCTGTCCGCCGTTCTGATGCTGTCTCCTGAATTCCTGAAGGCCTCGATTCCCAAATTTCCGAAATTCCCAAGCTTCACAAAATTAAGCTAATTTTACAGTTTAACCGAACAAGAGTAAAAACGAGACAAGGAGCGGGCAAAGATTGGCCTGCAAACGTGATTTACTAATATAAAAATGGAGAATTTACGTGAGTCTGGTTTTTTCAACTCTTCATTCTCAGGCCGTTTGCATTAGACTATTATCGAGGATCGTTCCGATGATTCTAATGATTGAGTAAATTGAGTAAATTGAGTAAATTGAGTAAATTGAGTAAATTGAGTAAATTGAGGAAAGATTGTAAATGAGAAATCGTCGTGTAAATGAGGAAGGCCGTCGACGCCGAAGAGGAGGACGAGTCGACTATATTTTCCAGTTATCTCTGCAGTTATTCGATGGACCCCAAAGAAAGAGATCGAACTTTCGGTTTTTGTCCGACTACGGGATGCCCTGATTGGTCGGTCCAGCTCCGGGGACATCTCCTCCCTGACGAATTCCTTTATCTCGCCTCCTCTTCGATTCTTCCTTTTCCTCTCCCTTCACTCTTCTCATTCTTTCTCTCTGATGCAGACATTGTGCCGCCCGTGTGGATATGATTGGCTGCACTGAGCTCCTCGTTAGCGTAGCCAGCTAACGACTCGACCCGTCGGCTGCGCTAACAACTTAAACTAGAACATCGAGCATAGAGCACAGAGCCCGAACGATGACATCGAGAATGCGCGAGAACGTTGAACTGCGCGATGCGTGAGAGACGCAGCCGATGGGGAAGGCAACAGGATTAAAGAAGGGAGATTCCTCTACAGTGCGCATAGGCCCCTCGAGAAACAAAACTTCATCGCGCGTCTTCTCCTTCGTATGGAGGATTATCAGGCGACTCTCTGCTTATTTTCGGCTCCTTGGCTTTTCATCGTCTAATTGACCGGACAATTATATCGATTCGTTCGGCTAAGCACTCTCCCCGTTGACGTCGAATGATGGATCGTTCGAAGTCATCGGCAGCAGCCTTCGACGCGTCACTTGCCACTTGCCACTTGCCACTTGCCACTTGCCACACGCGTCGGCGGCCTCTGCTGTCAACACATTTCCGTCCTCCTCCATACCGGAACCGAGTTCGCACGCAACGCGAAGATTCGACGAGGAACGAGACAAAAGTCGCGAGGTCGGGTTCCTTTTGCGCGCTAGCCGGGGAGGCAAGGGGGGATCGCAGGAAATGATCCAATAACAGGAACTATTAATTAATGACATTGACTCCTACGGCCAATAGGCCAATACCGATCTAGCAGGAGATCGAACGAAGCAGAAGGCATTCTGCCTTCGCCTCCAAGGATTCAGGCTTGTGATTTACATTGATCCGACTGAGCCGACCGGCAGTGCGTCGCTCGCCGCTCGCCGCTTGCCCAACCCCCTCCGACTCCTTGACTCTGAGCTCTCCCGATGTAGCTTCAGGTTGGCTTCAGGTTGGCTTCGGGTTGGCCCTGATCTCAAATTAGACGGGTCCTGTGTGCTCGGCAATAGAGAAACACCCCATTCCCGCGATGACACTCCCCAACCCTTCGCATTTAATTAAATTCCTGGGAGAACCTTTAGAAGCTTTTTTGCGAGACTTGGGCGCCTACGCACACTCGTCCTCGCACACTAATTGACGGACGAATTAATTAGCGGGAGTGATCGATCGAGTGTCGTCATTTTCTCGCTTACTTATTTTAGGACTCGCACGGCCGTCAACCTTCCGTCCTAAACGCGGTTAGACGAGACATCCGGTAGTTTCTCGTTTGCTCGGCTACTCGCGCGCTCTCTCCCCAGCCAAGGACGACCTGAGCCTCGCTCTGCTCCAATTCGAGTGCCGACGAGGACGAGGACGAAGCCCAGGAGGACTTGATTCGCGTCCGTGTTTCCCTTTTTCGAAATCTCAAGCAGTTTTCAAATGAGCCGGATAATCGCAGGTTCCGGGTGTCAGCTCCAACTATGCAATTGTTTATTTCGAGCAATGATACTTTGCATGAAAAATGCAGGCGCGATATGCAAATGTATGGAAAGCACAGTGACAGATATCTCAGCGTGCTCGGGTGCTCGGGTGCCCGGGTGCCCGGGTGGCTGATTGTGAGGTTAGCAGGGTTCGTATGCCCTCCTGCATAGTTATTCGTAGCAACCCTCTCCCAGCGCCCCACCCCCGCGCCCCTTCAAAATAAGAGAGAGAATGAAGGTGCGAGTGAACGAGTGAGCAGAAGAGTGAAGAGACGAGTCGTAGTTGCAGTTCGAGTCGTAGTTCTGGTTGTAGCGCGCTGCGCCTACCGGACAACACCTACGGCCGCTCGGCGCTACTCGGCTAGCTGCCCGCCTAACGCCTGGCGATAACTCACGAGCGAGCTATAATTATCATACTGTGTAATTGTTAATGATTGCACCATTGTTGCCATGACTCGCAGTAATTAATGCAGTGCCAAACCAGCCGCAGAATCCCGTCTCACGCGATGCGACAATTGATTAGGAAACTCGAAGGAAGTGGGATGTTCCCCAATATGCTTAATCGCCAAGAATCCCTCGACTGCGGCGGCCTGATATTCCGGCTGTAACAGTCGGCAGACTCTGGATCCTCTAATTCCTCTATAATTCTTTCTCTCTGATCACGCGAACCCAACCCTCCTCTCCTCCGCTATCTTGCAATCGCAATCCTTGTGACCTTATAATTTTTCGTAAGTGCGGGGCACGTCGATTGCCTTCTTTCCTCCATGTAAAAGCACAGTGAAGTTGCAGCGGTGCACAAGGAAAAGGGAGAAGGAAAAGGCAAAAGCAGCGACTCGCGTGGACCGCCCGGGAATCGAACCCGGGTCACAAGACTGGGAATCTTGCACGATACCCCTACACCAGCGGTGCTCTTACGTAATCACCAACGTTCGAGCTTCACGATCCCTTGTGATTCGACAAAGTAGATGACTTTAATGAACCAAGTAATTATCTAGACATCTGGGCATCTGGGCATCTGGGCATCTGGGCATCTGGGCATCTGGGCATGTCGACTGAATGTCAATCGATGATACACGTTCACTTGCACGTCGTCCCAGATCGATCGATTGACATTAGAGCAGCAAATTACTGAGAGTTTCGAAAAAAGCAAAGAATCGGATGATTGAATATCAAAGATGGAAGGAAGGAAGGAAGAAATGATAAATTATGGAAGCAACAGCTGAACGCGCAACGTCCGCTTCATTTTGCACGATATAGTTAACGATCAGCAGTGAAGCCTATGAGCTCTGTGAAGCCGGTGAAGCCCGTGAAAGTTGCGAGGCGGTTCCGGCTTTTTTGCTGGCTGGCGGCCATTAGTAACGGCTCGCGGTCATTAGGAATCCCCCTCGATTTCCCTTGGGTTATAATTGCTATCGTCGGCCCTGTTTCTCAAATGCAACTCAGGTCAAGGCTGCTGGATATACTAATTACCAAAGAAAACTGACAAACGACAACAACTGTTTTATAGGAAATCTATTCGACCTTGACCTTCCGCGTAGGCATCATGCGTGGACCAGCCAGACATTTCCTTGCGTGAACTTAGTTCCGCTCCGCACTGATTCCGGTAATTAGTAATGACTCGTTGGTAATGAAGCTTCCATTATAGCGTCTAGCGTTGGTTAATTAGGTAGCCCCTTGATTTATTATGATTCGAGATAGCCCCACATGCCCCGGCAATCCTCAGGGATACAAACTTGCTCCCAACAAAAAGCCGATTCATAGCTCGATCCCTCCATCCCTCGATCCTTCGATTCCAATACTTGGCACCAGATGATGCTTCAAACCGATACTGGCATCCGGTACGTTGCTACCTATCTAGCTAAAGAGTGGCCCCCTCGCCCCTTTCTCGAAGTTCCCTGATCCACCTTGCGACGAACTCATTCCCCGCATTCCCCTCTTGCCCCTCTTGCCCCTCTTGCCCCACTTTCCCGTTGTCGCTCTGATTCCTCTAGTTAGATCCACGAGTTTCAAAAGCTTGACATTCAAAGAACGAACGTTTCTACTAAGAGAGTGAGTACTTACGTCCGGTGTCTCTGGAGGAGAGTCGCTGAAGAAGCCACGTTTGCAGAGCAAGTCTCTCTCGATGTCGACAGAAAAATTCCGGTCGAATTCCGTGTCGTTTGAGGAAGTCGTCGCATTTTCGAAAAGTCGTCAGGGCTCTAGCAGCCTCTGCCTCTATGTCGATCTCAAGGTCGTCAGCGTCGTGGTCCAGCTGGTCGACCTCGTAGTCGCAGTTGTCGGAATGTACGTTGTCACTGCAGTCAGTCTGGAAGAAGCTGCGTCTCGAAGACTCTTCCCGCTCCTCGTACGTTTCATCGGGCAGAAGCATTCCCATTGTTGGCACTCTTGTCTTTCTTTTCGAACTCGCTCGTGCGGCGGCGCACCTGATCGTGCTGAGCGTCCTGAGCCGATCCTTCCCCTGGCAATGAGTTCCGGACTGACAATCGGGAGTCCGTCCACAGCACATATTAGTGAGGGACGTTCCTCAGAGGGATGAACCGACGGATGAACGAGGGATGAACGAGGGATGAACGAGGGATGAACGCGCGCGCGCCCTCGAATCCTCGCTGGCCGTCCAGGCGACACTCGCGATGCACTCGGCAGGAGGTCTTCCTTTGCGGGGAAAATTCAAGTAGTCAGACGTAATCAGAAGTAACCGAAAGTAAGCAGAAGTAGCTATAAGAACTGCCTGCGGATTTTGGCAGCGCGTTGCTGTGCGGCGAGGAACAGCGAAATGCACGTCTTTAAGGTCAACGCAGGCGTTTTGTAGTCAAGTAGAAGCAAGCCTGTGATTAGGGCCTGAACGCCTTAGGGCCCTATAAACGCCCACTAGGCCCAACGAGAGGGGCCCGCAGTCAGACTTCGGGAAGAGTCTCGGTGCATTGCAGTACGTGGCAGTGAGTTGCGCGTGGGAACTCGTGCGGTCGTCTATCGTCTCTCTCAAAGCTTCGAGGAGTTCCTCGAGATACGTGTGAGGCGATAGTCGACTGCAGCCGATCGGTCGGATGCTTTTTTTCAAAAGTAGACCCCAAATTTCGAAAAGTTTCCAGGGACCCGGAGGTGGGGTAATTGCGTCTCGTTCTTCGATATTTTTTTCCCTTTGAGAGTGGGAGGTGTCCTCCGCCCCCCCCCCCCCCCCCCCCCCCCC